ATGGAGGAGAACTAACCTGGACTGTGCCATGAAGGGCTATAACAAAGGCTAGCTGCTCCCTGCAGTGAAGAAAAGAGCAGTGGTGGTGGTTAGCATTCTGAGAAGGAGAGGAAACCCAGCAAGAGGAGACATCCATGGGGAGGAAGGGCATGAAGTCATCTCAAAATACACCCCAAAGAATGGGTTTGATTGTGGGGGTCCTGAGAGCTGCTTTCTCAGGGTACTTACTGTGCCCAAGCCTCACGTGGAGTGAGTGCCTTTACTGGATCAGGCTTGGGGGAGTGTCTGCCCAGCATAGGGCCTGGCCTACTCCTGTCCTTTTGTTCCTCCTCCTACAGTAACTGACTTTGCTCTGTTAATTCATTTAAGCTTTTGTCTTGTCTGGATTGGGAAAGTAAAGGCAAATGTTATTTCTTTTACTTCTTACTTCATGGAAGCTTAGTAATGACAACTAACTGAAAAACTAAAAGTATACAGGCTAATCAAGTCAGCCCATTTACCATTTGTGGAGCTTGACCAAGGTTGTATCCCTTAGAGTAGCTCAACCAGCAAAGCAGATTTCTCACCATAGTGAGACTGGATGAGCAGCACATCTTATATATGTTCTGATGCTGACTTCAAAGGGCCATGTACAGTAATAGATTTATGTGCTGGTTATAAAGCTAATCCCATTACTTCATATAACCCTTCATCCTTCCTCTGACTTTTATGGGTGCTTCCTGTGGATGCTCATATAGAGATATCAATTAATTCAATGAAGAAGCTTTCATTATTGATATCCAGATGATTAATTATGTAAGTGAAATGTCTCCTGTAATTGAGGAAGAACAGTCTATACAGGTGCGGCTTGACTTGGCAAAGGGAAGCAGCATCAGAGGACAAACATTAGCAGAGTCTAATGTGACTTTGAGATAAGCTTTGTCATAGTTGAATTTTCCGCACTGGCTTCTCCTCTAGTATCAGTCAGAGTGTACTGACTCATCTCCATCCAAAAGCACAACAGGCTCTATGCTACGCGCGTTATCAGGATTTTAAAGGAAAAGAAAGTTGTCCCCCTTTTCAGACATGATACTAATGGATGAACTTGGGGGGAATTAGATGAGTCAGATTCTATTCCACTTTTGATCTCTGCATTGCCTTCATTTCCCAGAGCTAAAAGCAGCTTTCTGGTTTCCAAAGACACAAGAATCACTACTGTGAATGACTGTGATTCTAGACTCTGTCTAACTCTGACCATATGAATCCCATCATGCATCACTCTGCTGATAAAACATGCTTTATTATAACTATTTACTGCTACTATAAATATTTATTATAGCCCTACAAAGTATTTCCATATATTTCCATTTTGCTTTGTGCATGCCAGTGTTCCAAGCCCAGACATTGATTGCTGTTTTATTTCTCATAGTAGTCACATTGTGCATGGGAAGATGCTGCTTCTCCATTTTAAATGGGAGGCATAAGGAACTCAGGCAATTTGCCCAAGGTTAAGTACGTAATAAAGTAGGCCTTAAGCTAGGACCCACATCTGCCTTATTTCAGAGGCTGAATTTTCAATAGTATGCTTACTTTGAAGCCATACCCCCCACTAGTGATGATGAGGCCCTGAAAATATTTCACTCTAGTTTTCAGTTCTCTGAGCAGAACTTAATGTGATGGGGTTTTTTTTTTTGTTTGTTTTGGATATTTCACTCTAGTTTTCAGTTCTCTGAGCAGAACTTAATGTGATGGGGGTTTTTTTTGTTTGTTTTGTTTTTTTTGTTTTTTGTTTTTGGTCGCTTGATAAATCCTTGCCTATCGCTCTCTTTACTTCCTTTGAAAGCAGAGACCTGTTTCTACCCCATGCTGTACCACAGGCCTAGAACAGTGTCAGCCATAGTATAGATACCCAGTAAACATTGGTAGAATAGGTGGAAACATTAGTATGCCTTGGGTCTTTAGATTCACATTGCTTTCAGGCTAAGAGAAAGACTGACTTGCAGGAATAAATGTGGCCCAACACAGAAAACCCCCAGCAGAGTCAGAGGACTGGTAAGGGTTCCAGGGGCTTCTGTGGGACTCTGTTGTTTCCTTGAGCATTGTGAAGACAAGGGTATGAGGATGGCATGGAGAGTACAAAACTGTAGAAATGAGACACCAGAAAGTGTGTGGAGAACGAAGCCATTCTGACTGTGTCACTGAAAAAGGTGTAGAGGACCATCCTGGAGGGTCTGGAATCCCAAGCACAGCCTTTGTTACCTCCCATGTTATCCTTCCTTTACCTCTCAAAATCCCCCTTGGGTTTCTGAGAACAGCAATTCAAGGAACCAGGATGGGTTGATAGTGTGTTTCTTTCAGGTAGGGGTTTCTTCAGATACTTTGTCACCTCACAGCCTAGCACAGGGCTTGTAATTGGTGACCCTCAGTAAATATATAATGTGTTGTAAATGTATACTGAAGTGGATTTTTAGATATTTATTTAAAAGCAGTTTGCATTTATGTTGACAGTAAATGACTGTAATGTTTAATATACTTTTGATGGAACTAATAAAAATCTAGTACCTTTTTCTGAACATGCACAAGTTTAGAATTAAGGTGCTTGGGTGACTGGCATATGGCAGACTTCAGTTCTAAGATACAATGTAACTTGCTCAAGACTTCCATAGTAGAACTGTAGGCACAGGAGAAATTTAGCAAAGTAGGGAAAATGGTACTTACATTTGCTTTCTATAAGTTGTTCTGTATATTGGATTGATTAGACCACATTACTTTATTACACTGTGTTTTGTGAACACCATGCTTCAGCAGATCTATCGACAGAATAGAGTCTAGGCTAAGTCAGAAGTTAAGCGATATAGGTGCTAGGAGAATATGGGATTGTATCACACAAAGAGGAAATTAGGAATATTTGCTTGGAGAAGAAAGTAATTGTAGAATTCTGGAGTTAATAATAAAACATGTTTGTGTCTCTATATTTTAAATACACACCATTGTTCCTTTACCCTAAAGGGAGTCAAGGCAAGAGAAACTGCATAACTAGAATGGTACAAGAATGAAATTGCAAATGATGAAAGATGTGTTAGGAGAAGTCCGATGATTCCGCTGGTACTGGACTACGAGCTCCTGCGGTTAGACACCATGTTTTATTTGTTTCTGCCAAATAACTAAAATAGCACCTAACACACAGCAAATGCTTACTTAGGATTCATTATTCAAGCTTAAAATCTTTCATGATGTAGATGATCATGGAGGTGAGCGGAAAGGTATAGAGGACTCTCCCAACACTCAGGTTTGTGATCTCCAATAAAAATTTACGTATAGTGAGGCATAAACTTATAACAAGTCAGTCATTTCATATTTTTGCAACCAAAGGTCAGTGGAATTGTTTCTTTGAACAGATACATCGCCATGGATAGTACATTCTTTTTCTCTTCTGTTGGGAGAAGGAAGGGTTTATTTGCCACAGCTACTACCATACAAAGAAAACTAGGTCTACTTACATCTCTGTGCATGTTAAACAAATTAACCTTCCAGACAGTTTAGCAGGTATTTGTTGTATAATACGTATCAAGGGAGTGATTTCATAGGAGTACTTGAGTGATGGTTATGTCAATAAAGTCACACTTTTCAAATTTATGACAATCTAGAAAATCACATTTTTCAAAGTCCTAAGGCTTACATAGATTGTCAACTTTATTATAGATTAACAAATGCTTTAAATCTCACTTCAAAACCTTGTTTTTTATAGACTATTTTATGTCCAAAACATTTTGATTTGATGTGTCTTTTTGTTTTCTAACAAAGAAGGGATGTTATTTCTTATAGTCCATGAAGAAGTCATTTGAGGAAGACAAAGAAAGCTTTATTTAAATCATCAATATGTGCTACAGGAACTACTTGAAGGTAAAGGATAATAAGAAAATTATTTAATTTGGAACTTCATCTTACTCACAGTTTACTTTCTCCAAACAAAGTTATCATTCAGACCTGTCTGCTCATATCTGGCAGCAGTTGACAAAAGCAACTAAGGTCCCTTAGATTCTCAGAAATTTTCTTTCTTATGTAAATTATGCTCAAAACATACTTCTCCATCCATTGTCATGAAACAGTGTCTATTTGTTTTCAATTTCAAATAATAGTGCTTTTGGGCCATAAAGGTGCTAATGAGAGCATTTGTTTTTTATGAGTCTACTTCTTTTCATACAAGATACAAACATGGTAAAAGTCTTCTTTTTCTTTTTTGAGACTGTGTGTGTGTGTGTGTGTGTGTGTGTGTGTGTGTGTGTGTGTGTAAACTTGGCTGTACTGGAACTAGCTCTGAGACCAGGCTGGCCTTGAACTCACAGAGATCTTCCTGCCTTGGTTTCCCAAGTTCTGGTATAAAAGGCATTCAACAAGGGTCTTTTAAGAATCTGAGGTTTGGGTTCATACCTACTGATGCAGTTACAATTTTCTTCTAGCTGTTACTTCTGCTCACATAAACAGCACAAGTTCGGCCACTGTTTATATACCTGATATATACCTTACTCAGAACCCTGAGGTTAGATGTATTTGACTGAGAGAATTATGCTGCATCCCAATAAAGACAAGTATCTTGTTTGCATTCTATTTTGAGTCATAAAACACTTTCTCTCCCTTCTTCTCTTATTTAATTTATATGCTAGAGATTTTTCTGTTCTGAGAATAAAAGAGAAAGACAAGGAAGAAAGTAGATGAAGCAGAGATCATTCAAGTATCTGACATATTTTATGCTTCCTCAATAAAGTAAATTATGTTTTCTCTTTCCAATAACCATCATTTCCCTTGATCTTGGCATCACTCAAACCTAGCTCCAGAGTCCTGTGAGAACTAATGTGTTGTCTGAAGATGCACAAGAGGAGGAAACACTGCTGTCTGCATAGCCCGTGCTAGTTGGACAGTGTTTAAAAAGTTACGAATTACTGCAAATTTAAGAATGCCGTTTTGTTTTCTCATCACTGAGTATTTATTATATATAACAAATACATGGGAAAGAAAAACTATATTGTGTGATATAAATAGTTTATTTACATTACAGAAAAAACATCAAGACAATGTATACTATTTCAAATATATCCATACATAATCAAATATAGCTGTAGTACATGTTTTCATTGGTGTAGATTACCACAAACGCAAGGCAACATGTGTAGATCTCGTCTTACTCTTTTGTCTCTAATACTGTATTGTGTAGTCCAAGCTGTCGGTTGTCCGGCCACTGGGAAACATGCTCCCTCTAGATTAACCTTGTGGATGCTCTTGTTGTGTTGTCTGAACTGTAGTGCCCTGTATTTTGCTTCTGTCTGTGAATTCTGTTGCTTCTGGGGCATTTCCTAGAAGGTTGGAAAGTTTACAGATCTTAGTCTAATGCGATTACCTAAAGTTTGGTCCTATATTCAAAGAGTGTAGCTGTGGGAGCAAATTACTAAAGTATCTCAGAGCAAAAAACTGATTCCTAGTAGAACTAACTGGGAGTGCTTGTAAAAATTATTATTGTTTACTTATTATTTGCTTCTCCTTGCAGTTGTCTTTAGGCTTCTGTAGAGAACTGAAGAACAGAAGTAGAAGTTGAAGAGAAATACTTTTACCTTGTCTTTCACTGTTCATTCTTTAAGTCTATTTATTATATTGTGCAATGAACAGATTCAGCACAATGCAAACAAGCAAGTCCCAAAGCTTATCACAGCTCACTTTAAAGGTCTTCAACAACTTTATATTTAAATGTCTTAACGATGAGTGTTATATTGACATTTCAGTGCTATAAGATCCTATCACAGCAGAACAAACCAACTGATAACATCTGATATGCAAATGAAAAGGAATATTGCTTAGGTTAGCCTAATATCATTGTCTTGCATTAATGCTATAAAACTAGAGGCAAAAATTGGCACCAATTATGTTGCTCGTATAAAAGCTAATATTCAGTAACATCTGAAAATCGCTGATCTAGTATTTTTTGTTATAATAACAAGTTTCTTTGATGATGCAAGCAAGAGAAATATACAGCTAACACAAAATTCTAATACAACTAAGGATGGTACAGTGAAAATATGTATATAAACATACATACTATACTCGCACACACATACATAGTAGGTGTGGGCACATTTTGTGTAGTTTCTGGGGCCATGTAGCTGTTATAAACAAACATGGATCTGGGAAGTCACATTTTCAACAAGTAGGAGATGGAAACAAAAAGATGAAAATCCACCTTCTCAATGGGACAACTCTTTTCATTTTGGAACAGGTCTCTAGATATTCATATTTTATGAGATATTGCTCAGGAGGCAGATTCTTGAATAGACAGAAAAAAGGAGAAACAAATTTGGAGGGAAATGGGTAGGACAGGAGAGAAAAGAAAGGAAGTTAGAACAGAGAACAGACCAGATGAGACCAGCATTAAGAGAAAATTGAAGACAATGGAGAGGCCTATGCTAAGAATAATTCTGTGAACTGTCTATTGTCTGGGTATTTTGGAATAGGTCTTGACAAACAAGGCTTGCCCAGGCCACCAGGAAATCGGGTCTCTTTGGGTCAGAGGTGTGCAGTTGGGGAGTCTGTTTTGTAAGCATGCTATTTTTGAATGAATGGAATGAATCTACCCCGGATACTGGTGTGACATACAGATTAATACTTTTCCTAGGAAGTGTTTCTAAGGTTTGGTTGTACAAGGAGAAGATTTATATAGTGCATTATAACAATGCAATCATGGCTGCTGTGCTATTTCTCTTCCCTTAAAGCAGATATAGAATGAGTTTTTGCTTTAGTATGAAAAATAAGAGGAAAAAAAAGACATACACCTTGAAAATATAATAGACATAGCTTACTCAAACTGGGATCTTAGTATAGGTAGTCAATGACAGAAGAGCAGACAAAACCATGAGCAGCTAGGAGCAGAGGAGCAGCGTTAAATGCAAAGTGAAGGCAGTAGACAGACACCATTTTGACTTCATTACTCAGCTGTGTAATCTCAGTATTTGATGATACCTCATATTTTAGGGATCCGCCATGAAAGTGAGGATAACTTTTTTGTAATGTTGTAAAGTGTGTATGCATGTGAATTTGTGCACTCAAACAAGTGAATATATAAACATATGGCACAATTATAACATATAAACACACAATTCCTGGTAAAAGAGTCTCTATATTATATTTTTAAGTTATGTATAGGAATGAAAAATGAAAAACTTATTTGAAGAAATGTCTGAAGTATTGAAAGTTTGACTTTCTTCACTATATAAAACAACAATTAAGTTGTTACAATTTGAATATAAATACCAGCTTCATTTTTCTTTGTGGCCTGAAAGATGTATGATACAGTTTTCTGTGTTTTAGATTCTTCTTTATCTTTTCTTTTTCTTTTTTTTGCTCAGTACTTTTGGTTTTCAAGTTGTCTTTATGTCCTCTGCTTTTATTTTCATATAATCCATTGGCTCACTTGGCATCTAAACATGAGTGTCTGGATGATGGACTCAGTTGGCTTAGGGCAGCATGAGCTCCAGTGATGATCTTCCCTTGTGCCTGTAGGCTAGGTGAGGATTTATGAGCTATATTTTGCCTTTTTTAAAAGAGCAGATTCCACACTTGTCTTTAAAGAAGATTGTGTAATACAGATGCCAAGGTATGTTACAGTCTTTATACTTTAATTGCATAATGTTTTTTATTTTCCCATTTTAGGGGAAATTTTGATTTACTATAGAACTATAGAAATGAATGAAAGTCTTAATGTTTTATAGATCTGATAAAAAACCTTAGAGTTTCCTTGGAAATTTTTAAAAAGAGAGTGAATTCAGTTTTTTTTAAAGGATCTACATTGGCATTTTGGATGTCACAGGACATGAATGATGCATTGGGTTTAGAGCCTAGTTCTCACCTACCATGCATTTGCACACTCAAGAGGTCCATCAAATCCCAGTCTTTGCTTCTCATCTCAAACTGAACCTCAAACATCACTCAGGAGTCACAGCTCGATTTCCTGTTGAAACTGGATGAAATCTCTATTCTATCTCATCACTGTCCAAATAAAAATTACCTTTTCCTGGGCTTGGAAATTGTTATTAAGGTGTGATATTTGCTGCTGTTTCAGAAATATATCAAAGGTTTTCATTTAGTATAACACAATCTTTCTCATTACATTTATAACATTGCGATTAACACTTACCATCTTAAAGTTAAAAAGTGTTGGCTGTTGACACCAAGTGTGTTAACACTGATGGTGTTCAAATATTAATGAGTGCTAGAACTTAAGCATTTCTAGACCTTATATAACATCTATTATCACATTTGGCATAGTGATTCCAGTAGGTAATCACTGGTTCAGAGTCTGAATGAAAAGTGGCCTTTTACAGATAAAAGAGAAGAATGTTTAAACAGAGGTTGCCATTATATGTTAGAGAAGACAATAATCTAAGGACATAGACAATCCTCATCATAATATGAAAATGAGTAAAATAAATTGTGCCTGTCCTGTAGGAAAACCCATGCCTTTCCATTTGGCTATTGAAATGTTCTAACAATGAGGAGCTAGGACTCATGGAGAACAGATGGCTACATTCTGTCCACCAAGAGACTCAGAGGACCAGTGCTGCCCTTAGCTTGGGTGATGCCCAAATACAATTACTGACCTTGTGATGCAGAGGACCACCACACATATGACAGCAATCTGAATCGTTCCAATGACAGCTGCAATCAAGACATACTGAAATCGCACAGGGCCAGGAACAACGTAGAGAACACTGTAGTCCTTTTTTTCACAGTGTTGGCCAGTATAACCAGCATCACATCTGGAAGAAAGGACAATATCTGGTCACTTGTGGCCCAGAACACTTTCATTTTAATTTCTTTAGCCTCAATTAACACTTTTACATATTTCTTAATGGCATAGTGCAAATGAAAAATAAGGCTATTTGTTTTAGACATTTTCTATGCCATTGTTAGAGAAATGCTGAGAAAACATTGAGTCAGAGATAAAGCAGGAGTAATTTCTTAAGTTTGATGGCCATAAAGTCATTAGTTTTGAACAGAGAAATATTTTTGTAATTCTCTTTAAAAGTTTTGAAGAGAAAAATTTTGGTGTTGATGATACAGGTATAGAAACAAAGCTACTGTGAATGTCCGCTTAGGGTGAATTGTGCTTCTCACTCAGCCTCCCAGCCAAAAATTCAGATGAGTAATTTTCATATTGAAATAAGCATTTGATATGAAAATATACTAAATTGGATCAATATGTCATTGATTTGTTGAAAGTCTCTAGTATTCAACTTTGAATATCTTGTAACTACGTCCTGAGGACTTTCCATGGTATCTGGAGGGTTTGATTTAATAACTGCTGCAGAAAGAGGGGCAGCAGAGTTCTCTCCTTGTCATGTTCACTCTGCCTATTGAAGAACAGGAAGATTCCAGTGTATTCCATGAAAGGAAACAGGTATAGACGACAGCTGTAGGTAAAAGATAGAGAGAGAGAGAGAGAGAGAGAGAGAGAGAGAGAGAGAGAGAGAGAGAGAGACAGACAGACAGACAGACAGACAGACAGACAGACAGACAGACAGACAGACAGAGAAGCAGAGATGGGGGAACAGGCAGAGAGAGAGAGACCCAGACAGTGCTATTTTGGTAAATCTCTATACCATAATCAATTTATTTCATCATATGCCAGTTGTCTATTAATTTAAATATAGATACATTTTCATTTTGATTTGCCATCTCAAAAATAATCTCTATGTTTTAGACATGAGTATATATTTATAAACTATATTTATAGACTAAATCCAGACAAGCAATTTCTTTGTGTCTCTTCTGAGTTTGAACTATAGATATGGTGGTCAATCATCTCACGATACCAGGCTCTATAGAGAAGAGAGTGAGTGCCCAGAAAAATCATATAGTTCATAGAGATCTGGAGAGTCTTGGAAATAACTTCCCCATAAATACTAAAGGAGAAGAGCCAAGCACAGCTCTATATCCAGAGGAAAGGATGGTGAACAAAAGGTGGCCATGTCCTTAAAACTATACTGTAACAGAGTGGTGTGCTGTATGCTGAGTGTATTAGGTACACACATCTTCAGGTTATTGGGTATGTGTATGTGTGTTTGCATGCGTGTATATGTGTGTGTTTGTATGTATGTGTGTTTGTGTGCATTTGTATGTGTATGTTTGTGTGTGTGTGTG